CCTCTAAATTAATTTATCCAACAGTTTTCCCTCGAGTCATCTTTATCTATTAGAAGAACCACTAGAAGTTCTTACAAGTTTCAAGCTAAATTGAAACATCCGTAAGGAGGTATCACTGATTCTCAATTTGCTTCCCAACGCAATTACCATATTTAAGTTTTTAAAATTTTAGAGTTATTTTTTGGATTGAATGAATGTATATGTTATCCAATAATACCATTATAGAATCATGATTTCCACTATCACAAGAGGATGCACACACAGATAAGGCATACACATTAGTCACAGCAGTTCGTCGTCAGGTGATCCAGAACAAAACACATATTCCAACCATATATGAAAGGATTCCAATACCTAAGGATATGGTTTATCACACCGCTGAATTTCTGCCATATCAATATTAAACGAGTTATCTTTAAATTTCACTTCTTTCAATCTTTGTATTATTTTTTTTCTTTTTATTCTAATTAAGATTGATATTTTATTTTATAATTGGAATTTCACTTATCACTCTTCTCTTCTCTTTTCTAACTAAATTTTTCCTAATTTAATTTTAGTATTTTATTTCATTAATTAAATTTTTATTTGTTAATTTTAATTTTGCTTGTGAAATTCTTGGTGATAATGTATCCATTTCTTTTATAATATTTACCATTATTATTTATTATTTATATTATTTGTTATTTATATCATTTAAATTATTATATATATTATTTTAAAAATTTTATTCATTTCTAAAGTATTTTGTTATTTTATTATTACTATTATTTGTATATTATTTTTTTCCTACTCTGCAAAATTTCCTTAATTTTCACTACCAAAATTTCCAAACTTTGATTTTCAACTTCATTCTTTCCTCAGTTAATCTAGAATTTCTCTCACAACACTAACAAATTAATGAATCATGCATACTGATAAGACCAGATTGTTGCAGATCAAGGAAATATCAATTCTACACATGCACACTAGTAGAACCGTTCATGCAACTACGACTTCCACTTCCAGTTGCTCTTTGCAAAACCAGCTCCCACTTCAAACTGCTCTTCCATTTCTAGTAGTTGCTAATTGAATTTTATCTTGATAATGTGCATAAAATCTAAAATTTACTTTTATCTTGTTTGTAGCAGAATGAAATTAGTTTATCATTTTCTGTATTTAAAGCATTTGTAGTATATGAACGAGAAAAAACAATTTAAAATTCAAAACTTGAGTCTTTTTCTCACCTTAAATAGAAAAATTATCGTTACTTCTACTAACTTTGACTGTGATCTATCAATTAGTATCAGAGCAAGATGACGTCGAATAAGGAACACATTGAAAATCTTGAGCATGGTTTGAGTGGGTTGCAGGACTTGGCCAGTAGGC